GGGGGGGGGGGGGGGTAGGGGGCGAAAGTAGGGGGAGGGGATGGACACCCTCGATGGGACCTGGCTGTTCCCCAAAGTACGCAGACACTAACACAACCCACAGACCCAGTGAATCGTGCCTCAAGTTGCTTCTGCCCTACGCCCCCCACCACTAATACAGCTTTTACCCCCACCCCCATTGAGCACTTGCACGAGTCAGCTCCGAAGAGTGGCTCTGGAGGTTCAGTCCTCTGCGGTGCGCCAACGAGAACGCATCGACGAGAAATTTTGATCAGAGTTGCGACGACAGTCCGAGATTTTGGAGGAGTATTTTGAATTGCAGTGTTTTGAGGATTTTTGAAACACTTTTTTCGAGTTTGTGGAGAATTCTGTGATCGGACGAGAGGATTTGTGGAGCCAAACTGGATTAATTCAGACTTGTGGATATTTTTGTGATATATTTTTTTTGAGGGGCTTTCGAGTTTATGGAGTTGTGGATTTTTTTGGAGTGAGTGAAGTCTGAGGGTGGAGGTTGTTCTGTGAGGATTGAGGTGACGTGTGCTTTGGATTTTGATGCGATGAGCGGCCACGTGGTTGAGAGTAGCTGCGAGTTCTCGGCGTTTATGAAAGGTAATTTATGACTGAAAATGTTTGTTGAGGGCTCGAGTTTTTCGGGGGTGCAGTGGTGATTTGATTATTTAAGAGCGATTGAGATGGAATTGTAAATCGGAGTAGATGAGCTAAATGACTCCAAAAGTTCAGAGGATATCTTGAAAATGAGTCAATTTTGAGTAAAATTTTACAAGTCTTTTTTCGAAATCTGGAAATTTTGGACAGACAATTTCTACTGATATTTTTCATAAGTCTAGCCGCTGCAGAAATATTTGGGAGTTACTTTCTGAAAGAGGAATTAAATGAAAAAAATTACTGATTTACGACAAAATATTCCAATTCTCTGCAGGAAATGATCTGAAATTTTCCGCTGAACCTACCCACTTCATAAAAATTTACGAAGTATTTCTTGCGATAGATTCTTATTTTTCAAATATTTTGAAGACTAGTGAATAGCGAGGAAAATGTCAAAGATCTTTTTGGTAGTCTGAAATACCCCACAATAACATGATCTCCGAGAAATAATCCTTTTTCACTAATTCTCGCCAGATGTCTGAGAGAAATAATTGAGTCACCGTATTTTTGCAATAATCCCGGCGCCAGTCGGTAATTTCCCTTGATGCTTACCTCAGTCATTCAAATATGGTAAAGCCCCCGAGGACCGATAATTCAATGACTGCGATTGATAACTCTCAATAAAAATGAAAAAAATAATACAGAATTAAGGAGAAGAGAATGAAACAGAATGCAGGCCAACACGAGGGAATGATAATTATTGTTACAAGAGGCGCCAGTCGGTCGGGACTTTGGAATTTCTTACATGTATTTGTGTTATATGTATGCAGTAAAACCGTCGAATCGAAGGTAGAGAGGAAAAGGCGATCGGGAATAAACAGTGAGGCCAGTGTTGGGTTCTCTCATTGAATAAGGATGGAGGAGGCTAAATGGCGCCAGCGTGGGTCGCAGTCCCAGACGGTTATAACGCGCGGGAGAGAAGACGCGAGTCTCAGCAAAAGCCCAACACAGACGACCCTTTGACATCCGAGTCATGTTATTTCATCGCTTTTTTCCTCCTTTCCACGGCGAAAAATCCAAAGTCGTTTGTTTTTTTGTTCGATGAAAATAGAATGAATCGTTAACAATATTGTTTGCTCGTTTTGAAATCATTAGAGGTGACAATTGAGTTCTTTAAATGATTTCAAAATATTCAAAAATTATGGGCCAATTTTCGCTTCTAATGGAAACCTTGTTTTTGACCAATTTCTCGATTTTCTAATTTTGATTGCCGATGGTCTAGAAAGTTATGAAATGTGAAGACGATGTTTTTAGGGTCATGTCTGGGTGTATGTGACAACTTGGGGTTTTGGTGATTAATTTTTAGAATTCAATATAAATACGGTGAAATTTGTAGGTAAAAATCTGAAATTTTGGCTCATTGTAGCTATTATTGAGCTCAACTTTGGCGCGCTGTTTCAGCCCGATCGGTCCAGTAGTTCCTGGGATATAAAAACTTTTTTAAATTTCGTTTTTCGTCACTATCTCAGAAACTGTCCCAGACCATTCGCCATACCTGCATTCCTAGTAGCCAAAAATTTAGAACCACTGAAAATCATTCATCAATTTGTTAAAAGATGTAGGATAAAAATCTGAATGTTAAAAGTTTACCTAGACCCAAGTAGTTAGTATTAGACAAAAGATATTTTGTAACAAGTAGTTAGTATTAGACAAAAGATAATTTGTACTATTTTTTTTGTTTTATAAATAACCCATCAGGGTTGATGCTACAATAAAAAAAAATCTCAGAAACTACTGCACCGATTTCAAAATCTTTTTTTTCAAAATACTCGTCTGGGCAGGCACTATCTGAATCAATCAAATTATATATATCCGTTCATACAAAGTTTCCGAGAAATCCGCGTTTTCTCGTTTTTAAAATTCTGTCATTCTTGTGCGCACGATAACTTGAGAAAAAATGGAGATATCAAGTTGGTTAAAGGTTGGTATTTTGGATAGGCGCAACCAGCTAAGCAGTTTCGGAGATATTTAACCTTTTGTATAAATCTATTTCATTAAAAAGTTGAATCTTTTCCTGTAGACGCTCAGTAGCATGTGAGAATCGCTACGGATCCATTCGGAAACTTACTTCCAATGAAATTGGTAGAAATAAAAAAAACAGAAAGAGACTAATAACGCAAAAAGTAAGAGTCACATACCTTTTGTCGGATAAGCTCCAAGCCCTGCTTGTTTCTTCAATGAAAATAGATAAAATCACTCATGATTTTTTTTTGCTTTTTTACGATTAGCAGTGATAATTGGTTCATTTGAATGACCTCGAAACATTGGAACCTAATATATTTTTTGCCGTTTTTATTTGGCAATAATGAGTGAAAATCGCGATTTACGGATTTTTTAAAGTTTTTTTGCGGAAATAAAAAAAAATCATTGAAAAGACTTATTCATACGTATTGGGATGATTACGGGCGATAATTGTCAGCCTTTTCAAGTTCATATTTATCAATGAATACATTTTTAATACGCGACTCGTGGTATTCAACATGGTTTTCTCATTTCCGCTGTGACTAATCGAACAAACCATCAATGAATAATGTTCACATATGATCATCTATAATGCAAGATGATAATTAAGCTCTTTGAAAGTTCTTAAAACATTTGAAATTAATAAATCAATTCTTTTTATTTTTTCTCTCTAAAAAAGTGATAATTCGTGATTTTTTGTTGCTTTAATGTTTAATATGACAGAAAAAAATTATTGAGAAACTATCCATAATGACGTCTTCCTGAAGGCCCAAGAATATCACAAAAATTATAATGATTTTTTAATATTTATTTTTCGACGAAAAAATGCAAAAATGTAAAAAAATCCTGTGCTTGTATTATTTCGCATATTTAAGGCGTTACCCAAAGATTTGGATGCATTCCCTACGGGTGTAAGCGATATCCCATTGTGAGAACGTCCAGGTTGGAATAGTGGCCCCATCTCAACTCGGGGATATTCCCGAAGGCGTCCCTGAGAGTTGTAAACGCCCACCTGTGGTCCCTCTTCTTTATTTATTTTACCCGCACAATCCACCTGGGATCTGACTCACCGTCAGCATTATGTGTAATCCATTCAAATTTAACCTTAATTAAGTGTTTTTTCACTCCTTTGTGGAGGCAAAAGTCGATTCGATTAATGAAAAAAAGCAATAAAAGTAGACAGTGGTATTTTTTAAAGTAAATTAGCAATTTTCTTTCAAATTAATTCTCTTTTTTAATTATTATTTTACTATTCGCATATTCAGGCTTCATTTAGACCAAATTTACTAAATTTAGTTAGCCTGACTCAATAAATTAGAAGCTTAAATGTGAGTGATTACAAATCTTCCGTTCAGAAGCAAAAAAATCGTTATTTCCTTCGAAAATTGTCTTGATGAGTCGTCGATTGTTTCCACCGATAGGGGAAGAAAATCAACACTCGCAACAGGTTGAAAGCTCACCCCTGATGGTTTATTACTCACCGTACTTCCGCAGGTGATTATCTACCCCTGAAATCTAGTCGGTGAACGGATGGTCTTCAACGACAGATAAGCACCTGTCTCATCGAGTGTAAACTTGTTATTTCATATGATAATTTGTTGGAATCGATTTGTTAAGGAGTCGCGTCAATTAATTATGAGAGATTGGTGATATCTTTCGTCGGAGAATACTTATTGATTGTTTTGCGAAAAATGTCAAACGATACTTTTTGTAAATAACTTCATTTCCGACATTAAAGATCATTTGATAAATTTCTGTAGAGATGATAGCGTGGCAAATGAAAGATAATTTTCTCATTCTTGTTGTGAAGAAATGAGTGCTGACGTGATCTAATTATTATTCAACTTTCAAAGATATTTCTCGGAGATAATTAATAAACATTTTTCATTTTAGTCGCGAAAATATTGAGAAATGAACAAACTGTATTGGCTTTTTTTGTAAATATCCCCAAAACTAATGCGATTAAAGAAAAATGTTAGGAAACATTTTTTATAAAGAATTAAATGGTCTACAAAAAACTTTCTGTAAAGTTTTTCCCTAAAATTTTTCCTTCCCAAGATACCTGGAAAATTGTAAATTGCATTCAGACATTCTAGCTTCAACGATTGTTTCATCCATATAAATATGGTTTATCGAATTTCCCAGATTATTTTCATCATTTCTCGGGTCAATTACATCTGATAACTCAATTGGCTCGTGCAAATCTGGCGAATACACGAGGGAGCATCGTGACTGGGGAATTTAGCGTCGCATTTGTACTCCAACTCTGTTTTCATTTTAATACTAAAAAAAAATGTTTCGTTGTTATCGATAATTTATCAGGGGAATAAGTAAACGCGTAATTCATATTTACTGCCTCTGTTTATAGTTTATTACGCATCGATATCAGTGAGTCAATAGGATACCCATCCGGACGTTATTTTCAAGGTAGCTCAGCAAATTGTAGATGTACGTATGAATTTTAAAGTATCAACGAATTATTTCAATTGTCCTATCGTTAGTATACCCAGCTACAATGTACGTAAATGGGGTTAACACTTCCTGGATTGGGTCATTTACATTGAATCACGGGTATTCAAATCTTAAACTTCTTGAACTGGAATAATTTTCATTCACTTACAATTGTTGGAGAGACCATTCATTATTTATATTTCAATTTCGTAAATCGATTTTTTAATTATTAATTCATTAATTAGCAGAATTTTCTGAAGATTTTTAGAATCTTTTGGAAATGCCCAGGATTTTCCAGAGAATAATACAGAAAATAACAGAGAATCAGGGATTTTTCCAAAATCTTAGCATTTCTAAAATATTTAAGGAACTTCCGTAGTAAGTATATGGGAGTTGAAGGGAATCGACTGCAAAGCTAAAATTTTGAAAATATATTCTTTGAGTGATTACAAATATCCTCCCGAAATCCCAAAACATCGAACCACGTAGATTGTTGAGGAGAAAATATGAAAAATGTGTCATCAACACAG